CGGGCTACCGAAGCGGGGGTGCCATCCCCTCTGCAGAGGATCAAAATTGTGATGGCATGTCTTCGGATCATCCTCCGGGATGTTTCCCAGACCGTCGCCAATAGCCCATTGTGCAGCTCTAGTGTGACGTAAATTAACAACAACAACAACAGCAGAGTCTGGACTTGGGATTTCTAAAAGGCTTGATTTTTGTTTAGACTTAATAAATAAAAATTTACAGAATTAATTGAATGAGCAAATAAATATTTTCACCGCAAATCCATCTCTACTTTTTCCCCCCCTCTTTTTTCGTTTGCTTTCACTCCAGAATACAAGAAGCAGCGACATCTGAATTACGAAAATACGAGCTATCCAGCGAACGGATAAAAAATACGGAAAATCTTATTTTCTGTGCTTGAAATTGGAGAAAATAGCTAATATAAGTAAAAATGCGGGAGGGTTAGCAGCTAGGACATAATTTGAATTTTCTGTTTTTCTTTGAAAATCATAAATAAATATAATTATTTTACTTCAACGACTGAATTTTCACAAAAAAGCGGGATATTTATTTAAAAAAAAAAAAAACGAAACTTTTAGAGAGTCGGAGTTTTTGATAAAAAGGCTGAAATTCGAGAGACAAAAGGGAAAAAAATCTCATCCCTGTATAAAAGTCAACCAGTTTTATCCCAAGGAATTGATTTTTAGAGAAACTTCAGAGGGAGGAATGAAAACTTCAATAATTTCGATCTGCGAAAAATTAAATTCCTCTTAAAATATTTTAACTTGTGCAAAAAAAAAAAAATTTCAGCGGGAAAAATAGAAAAATCTGAAAAAAAAAAAAGCGGAAATCCGCGAAAGACTCTCATCCCTGCACATTTCATGTCGGAATTTAGAAACCCAATTTAAAATTCACCTGTCCAGGTACTTAATGCTCTATTCTTTCCTTTTATAGTTTTTTAAATAAGGTACATGCCCTCTGGTTTATTAGCTCAAGAAGAATCTGCTGCTTATTGTCATAAAATTTTCACAAATGGAAATGTAATAATTTATGTACGATAACATTGAAGTCTGTTTGAGTCATGATCGCTTGCTATTTGAATGGAAACAACTTTGTCATTCATTTAAATTTTCTAAAATTGAATAAGAAGTTCCGAGATGTAGAGCATAATGAGCGGAAAAACTTTGCATTTTAAGAAATCTGATCTCAGGTGCCCCTCAATCATCACCAAACTGTTTAAGAAAGGCGTTTAAAACCACCAGAAGTGTTTAAGAAAAGACAATATTTCTTTCTAACAAAACATTATTCTGTTAAAAAGCATAGATTCAATTAAAATTGCATAGGTAATCATGCAAGCTGGGAAAAGACATTTGAATCATTTTAATATTTAAGAAATAATTTATAAAAAAATATCCATGAATGCAAAATTATATACCTTACTAATTTTAAGCCGATTCCAGACTTCTAAAGCTTTGCATCTAGCTGTTTCAACTGCAAATTCATGGACTGATGAGAAATCACTTAGTTCCAAGTTTTCTTCAAATGACGAAGGCACAGCTTTTACAATTAGCCCCTGGGAACATATTAGAACATTATGCAAATTACAGATACATACAGGCAGTTATGTAAGAGTTAGCATGCACATGTACAACATTTCCATAAGAATAGCATATTTTCTAATATCAATTTTATTCCAAAATGTCATATTTTGAAATTATTAAGATGTTTTGAAAAGACATGGTCGAAGCCTTCAAAATATGCAAAAGATATTGAAGTAGTTAAGTGTACATTTTTGAATAACAGTAATTTCAAAATTATGTATAGTAGTACAGACATAGATGTTTATATATTATCAGTTTTTATGAAAAGTGAATGAGAAATTAAGGCTTGACTATACATAAACTATGTGAGTTCTAAAAGGTATACAATATGCTTCAGACCAGAATGCTTCAAGTAAAGAAAAAACTGTTCTAGAAAAAATAGGTTTCACCCATGAGAAAGAAACTGTTTTTTTTTTCATCTGAGATACCATGTTTCCCATAATTTACTAAATGACTCTAAACAAATATATATTTTTTAATTATTAATATCAAACTGTATATTTATGCTAGCTGACTTTAGAAAATTTTTATATCTTTTCATTCTTACAGAAATGTGCTAATGTAAAATATATATTCATTGAAATTTATGTAAATGAATATGCATAATTCAAAGCATTGTTTTTCAACCAATGGTTAACGAACCTCTTGGAGATTGCCAGATGTACCAATAAAAATTGCAGAACTTGGTAGAACATAAATTCTTTTTATTATGTCAGCTTCTGTGTCTGCTTGCCAATTTATGTTTAACTGGTGTGGAGGAGAAATAAAATCGCTCAGCTTAATGAGGAATAAGATCGTGATACATGTTTTTCATTCTGATTTCGATTAATGTTTCAGCTAAATGTTGAAAGCCAAGTTAAACTCTTCTAGATAGTAATTACGTGACAGAATCACGGTGATATTGTAGCAGACCCTTAAGAGTTTTTTGCAGAAAGATTATTCCTTTGGGAAGTAAACGATTTTAAATTTATTTTCTGTAGATATTTTCGAAAGATTTTTTTCCCATCCAGAATAATATTCAAACGATGTCTTTCTCGAGCATAGGAAGGGAAAGAAATGCTCGCGATTTTTCTCTTCTCACTTGAGAATAATAAAGAATAATGAAATAAAAAATTGCACTTTTCTTTTCTCCAGAAATTTTCAAAGGATTTTTTTCCCCATCCAGAATTATATTCAAACGATGTCTCTCTCGTGCATAGTAGGGAAAAGAAACGGTCATGATTTTTCTCTTCTTATTTGAAAATAATAAAGTAAAAATTTTTGTTTTCCTTTTCTCCAGAAATTTTCAAAAGGATTTTTTTTCCATCCAGAATTATATTCAAACATTGTCTTTCTCGCGATAGAAGGGAAAAGAAATGCTCACGATTTTTCCACTTTCATTTGTTAATAATGAAGTAAAGAATGGAGAGGATGGTTTTAAGTGCTGACACAGACAACAACAAAGTAGACGAAAGTGACGAGGAAGATATGGAGCCCTTCCCCCCTTTTTTTCCCATTTTTGTTCATTTTATGTTAAGCCTGTATGTATTTTTATTTCATTTTTTTTTTCCCTTTTTATCTTATTACACTTATGTGTATTACTTTATTGTTTTTTCTTCTTTTTATAATTATTTCTAAATATTTTTTTTAATTTGGGTTTGACAATAAAAAAAATAAAAGAAACGGCATTTTGTAGCCATTCAGAAAACCGGAAAAATCAGTTATCCGGAATAGCGATGGCCCCGATCTTTATGGATAATCAGTTCTCTACTGTAGCATATTATTTGTAAAAAAGCATCACTTCATGAAGTCCTTGAAAAACAGCCTTAAGCATCATCATTCTTTCTATTAAAATAATATTTTAAAAAGTAGCTGTAAGTTTCAATTTTCTATTAAAAAGTTATTATTTGAATCAAAATAATGAATAAACAAGGAACTTAGACTTACAACATTGCTCAGAATCTTCTTTCTTCTAGGTGAGCCACTTGCTAAAACTATTTGACGCTGAGCCAAGCGACTTAAATATTGCTGTATCATTTCCTAATTTAAATATATATATATACATATATATATACACACATATATATATATCCATATATAT